GTGATACAATATTCTTGCCTTATCTTCGTATTTCTTCACAGTAGCCAGTATAGAACGAAGTATGCAGTAGATGTTACCTGGTGTCTTCAAGCAAATCACTGTTGCGTGTGTACTAGAAAAGGATGTGTGATGTGCTACTGAATACCAAAAGGAATACAAGACGGAAGCCTTATGGAACTTATTGTTCTATTTGTGAATCAAGCTCACAAATATGAAATTATTAAATAACAACAAATAATGCAACACAATGAAAAAGTATATAAATTACCTTTATCAGATGACATATAATTAAGTATATAAACGTAATAGAAAGAGAAGAAAAACATGAGTCTTGAAGCTAACAGACTGGAATTGGGTGAAATTTGCTGATAAGGAAATTTTAGGTTTCCTTATCAGCAAATTTTAGGGAAGGTTTGTTACAAAAGTTCAGAGGGAAAGATTAATAGAAACTGATGTAATATTTTTGTGGAGTGATGGCATTAAAGGACCCACAGACTTAAAATCTCAAGAGGAAGAGATGAGTTTGGTTGAAGAAAGAGCAGAATCAACGGGCAAGAGTGTGAATAAATGAAGGGCAGTAAAAGAATTGCAGGATCAAATGTTGGCTAACTCAGGGCTTATATTATAAAGATTAAAATAAGAAATATGGCAAAATAAGTAAGTTGAGATTAAGTTAAAAAAAACTTCTCAATGGTAGGTAGAGAAATCTGGGATTTATTCTTTAAGCAAATAGAATTCACTTGAAGATTTTAATCATATATGAAGAAAAGAGAAAGTAGTCTTAATTAAATTTAATCTAAATATGAAAAAGAAATTAGGCTTATTTTTTGTGGCTAGAGCATAGATCTAGGACCAATGAGTATAAAGCATAGAAGGAGGAATTTTGCTTAAAGAGAAAAATACATAACAATAGGATTAAACTGAACACAGCATAGAGTAACTTGCAAGGTGCAAATTCCTTGTTACTAATTTGAAAGATCTTGTTTTTATTGGTTCTGCTGTGGGGAAAAAAAATCATGCATCAAACAGATGTTCTCAAAGATATTCTGATTCCAGACCTTTAAGGAATAGGAGGTAGGAGATAATGGCTGGGTACAGTTGCCAGGTGTTACACCTGCAATCCCTGAACTTTGGGAGGCAGAGGCAGGCAGATCACTTGAGCCCAGGAGTTTGAGACCAGCCTGGGAAACATGGCAAAACCCCATCTCTACAAAAAATTTTTAAAAGTAACTAAGCGTGGTGATGTGTTACTGTAATCCCAGCTACTAAGGAAGCTGAGATGGGAGGATTGCTTGAGCGCAGGCTGTCGAAGCTTCAGTGAATCAAGATCGAGCCACTGCACTCCAGCCTGGAGGACAGAGTGAGACTGTCTCAAATAAGTAAGTAAGTAAATAAATAAATAAATAAAGATTCTGGGTGTAGGGAGATCTGCCAACAGGCAATTGCTATGGTCCTGGGCTAAGTGATATAGCCCATACCACTATGATTGCACAATTATTGATCCTACCAGTGTCTAAGAGTTCATGGTGCTAAGTGCTTTACATACATGGTCTATTTTAATCCTTTCAATACCCTATAGAGTATACATTACTCCTCTCTTTATTTTACAGATAAGGTGTGGAGCAATGGAATAGGAAAGATAGGAGAGGTATTTTGAAGAACAGCATGAGTGGGATGATGAATATGTCACAGGTAATAAAGCAGTGAGCTGAAGTTAAGGTTATTTGAAATGACTTAATATGCTCCCTGTGCTACATTACAGCACAGGCCTACATAATACAGGGCAATTTAGGATTTATTGGGCTTAGTGAGTACTCAATCTCAAAGATTATCATTTTAATCTATTAATTTATTTTTTCCTCAAGCTACTTTACAGTGGATTAACATCATCATCATCAAAAATATTCATGATATAGCTTTTGGTTATAGGCACTGGGTGAAATTTTCAGCAATAAGACATAAACAGAATCTTGTGACATGGGGCTGAAAATGAAGTAATCATTTAAGGCAAAGGTTTAATGATTGAAAAGAGATAGTGCCAATCAACCCATTCTTTTACTACACACTGGTTAGGGACTTACCTACTTAATTATTTTTAGTGAATGAGTACACAAGAACCATATTATTTTATTTTATTTTTGAGATGGAGTCTCACTCTGTTGCCCAGGCTGGAGTGCCGTGGCTCAATCTCTGCTCACTGCAACCTCTGCCTCCTGGAAGAACCATATTATTTCATTTTGCTGTTGACCATGATTTTCGCAAGCAGGATGTAGGGGTATTATTTACAAGTATACTCAAGTTTCAGCCATCTTCAGATCTCTATAGCTGCTGTTGCCTTACCCAGAATTTCCTCTGACTTCTCCATCCTGTGGAGAGCTAGCTCAACCTACAACCCACACCACCTCCCCTTCCCTGTGAAGCTTCTCCTTACTACCCCAGCAGCAGTGGCTCTATCAGAGCCCTTGTCACAACGTGTCTTTCATATACCCTGAGGTTCTCGTAAGCAAGAGAGCATTTGTTTGTTGTTTGATTTTTTGCTGTTTTCTTCTCCTCACTGCTTCTCTTCCTCTAACCCTCAGAGCCAAAGACATAGTTGTCACTTATGGTTTGTCAAATAAAAAGCACAGGAGTGACAAAGAAACATATCAGTTTAAATATTTCCAGCCAATAAAAAGAGGAAAGGATGGATTAACATGCTCCTCCTCTGGCCTACCTGAAGCTTTTTCCTGTAGCTGGTATAACATGTCACATTGAATTATCATAAGTTGTTTGCCTGTACATCATGCTCAGCCTATGGTATATGGCAGATAGTTTATATTCAACATATGTTCCTTGTGTTAATTCAAGCTATTAACTGTCTTCTAACATCTAATATAACTTAATGATATAAATTATTATTTCAGTTCTGGAGTAGAAATAAGCAAATAGAGACAGGTCAGTGAAGCTAAGAAATGATATTTAAAACTAGTGTAAGTCAAATCCCCTAAAATAAGTGGCAGCACATTACAAGTCAGTGAATACAAACATAGCCAAACCACAGGTGGTTTGCTTGGCTCAAAATGTTTCTACGATGCTTTCCGGTGTGGTATACAAGCTGCCCTCCTCAAACCCCACCCCTCTCCATTGATTTATATCAGGTTTTTTAACACATTTTTGTTAACTTCTTGGCCCTTGGGGCATTTGAATTTGTGGTCTCTCTACTATAATTTGTCTTGACATTGTGAACACAATCTATGTTTTCACTCAAGTATTTTATTAAATTTATCTCTTTAAATTTTGGTTAATATGCTAAATTTTTAAAAATATAAGTTACATTCCTAAGTCAAAGCAATGCCCACATAGATTCAAAGATGTGAGAACCTGAATAATAAACATAGTGCTTTGCTTCTGTGTGTATATTAAAGCATGACTATTTGGTTACATTTATATTAAAAACTTTGTTTTGATTGTATTGAACATCATAGATGTGATTCTTGTCTTATTTAAATGACTACCTAATTCTTTTTTGGTTGATTTTTTATTGCTAGTTTGTTAGTTTTTAGCTTTACTGATATGTAATTTATACATGAAAAATGTACACAATGTATACATTTTGATGAGTGTGGACATATGCATTCATCCATGATGTCATCACCACAATTATAGTAAGAAACATATCTGTCACCTTCAGAAATGTCCCTGTGCTCTTTGTGCACTTTTGAGGTGTTCATTTTTTGGTACAAACATGTAACATGAAATCTATCCTCAGCATATTTTAAAGTGCATAATACTGTCCTGTTAATTGTAACAGTGCTCTTATGGAGTAGATCTCTAGAACTTATTTATCTTGCACAATAGAAACTTTATACCCATTGAAAAACAATTCCCCATTTCCCTCTCCAACATTCTATTCTCTGGGAATCACCATTCTATTCTCTGCTTCTCTGTGTTCGACTGTTAGAGACTTCAGGTAACTGAAACCACACAGTATTTTTATTTTTGTGACAGATTTTCACTTGGTATAATGTCTTCTAGGTGAGTCCATATTGTTGGAAATAGCAAGATTTTCTGTTTTTTAAGGCAAAATAATATTTCTTTTTATGTATAAGCCACATATTCTTAATTTACCTGTCAAGGAATAATTGAATCGTTTGCACATCTTGGTTATTGTGAATAATGCCCCAATGAAGAGGTGGTGCAGATGCCTCTTAGAAGACATATCACATTTAAACACCACCAGGTATCTAAAAAGGTGCTTAATGTCACTAATCATCAGAGAAATGGAGATAAAAACCACAGTAAGATATTACTTCACCAAAAAAGATAACAAGTGTTGCTGAGAATGGAAAAATTAGAGCACTTACCACTTGGTAAGAATGTAAATTGGTACAGTAACTATGAAAAACAGTATTTTTCGTTTTGGTTCTCCAAAAAACTAAAAACTGCCCTACGATCCAGCAATCCTGTTTCTGGGCAAATAGTTCCCTAATTCTCTAATTATTATGAATTCTTAGGGAGAAAAAAAGTGACCTACTTGATCTGTTCTCTCTGTGTAAAGTAATAATCCCTTGCTTTCAGAATTAAAGGTATATTGAAATAACTAAAAATGTAGAAATTCAAATGGTAAAAAGAAGTCTTTGAATTCCAGGATGCAAGTGTTATTTCTCTACAAAAATACAGGAAAGTAAATAAAGAGAATGTCACCAGTGGAATAGTATCTGGACCATTGCTGCTTTCTCTCTGCTGTGCCTCATAGGTTAGTTGCTGAGTGTAACAGGGAGGATGCAGAGAGTCAAAACTCTAGATTTTTTTCTCCAAAAGTTAGAGTATGACAGAATTTGAGCAGTATTCAATTGCTTATAATTAAAATAAATTTTAAAAATTACAGTTCTTACCACCGAACTGCATTTATAATTCACAAGTTCTCCTTTCAAATTTTGTCCCTAAAAATACCAAGAAAGTTTTTTTTTTGCTCCAATTATAAACATGCATTGTACCACTTTGGGGGAAATGTTACTCACCATAACTTTTGGGAGAGAATAAATTCATCTTTAAATATCAACTTTGATTCTGTAGCAGTATTCCAAAGATTAAACGTATTAAAATCTGAAGAAATACAAGAAAGCAAAAAAAAAAGCATATGTACTGACATTTCATCTCTTTCAGATAATTTATGGTTATTTTAACAGGACATGTTCCTAGGATAAATAATCTTGCCTAAAGTTTATTGATGGTAATAATAATATCTACTATATCTCAATTTCTTACTAAAAATAATTATTGGCAGATAGCTAGCACTCAATAAATACCAGCTACTATTGTTGCATATCAGTTATTACTTCAAGAAACTTACCTGTATTCAACTATTCCCCAAAAAAGTTCTAAAAGTAGGTCTTATTATTATTATTCTCATTTTAGAGATGAGGACATTAATGCTCAACCTCACAAACCAGGATCTGAATCTAGGCCAGGACATGTTTATCAATACATCATGTACTTGAGGGTCATTGTTTGAGATGTAAGTAAATAAAATGCTCATTCAGTTTAGCCATTAATTTTACATGTTCTATGGTAACAAGTGGTCCAAATAGATTTATTTAAGTTAGCACACTGAAGAAATAATATTTGCTAAACTTGAATAATTATATATAATACATCTCAGTGTGTAATTTCATTTTATTAGAGTTAAAATCAAGGATATTGGCCAGGTACAGTGGCTGGCACCTGTAATTCCAGCACTTTGGGAGGCCAAGGAGAGCAAATCACTTGCTCTCAGGAATTTGAGACCAGCCTGAGCAATATGATGAAACCCCATCTCTACCAAAAAAAAAAAAAAAAAAGAATAGCCAAGCTTGGTGGCAGGCACCTGTAGTCCCAGCTACTTGGGAGCCTGAGTTGGGAGGATCTCTTGAGCCCAGGAGGTTGAGGCTGTAGTAAGTCATGATAGCACCACTACATTCTGGCCTGGGTGACAAAGTGAGACCCTGTGTCAAAATAGTAATAATAATAATAATAATAATAATAATACGAGGAGATCAAAAGTAAGTATTTTGCCTTACAAGACACATGAAAACACTTGTTGTTTTGCCGTCTCCTAATTATTTCTACTCTCAAAACAAAGCACATATGCAAGAAATTTCTTGTAAATGTGTGACTAACTCTTAAGTCAGTATTTTTAGCCTTGATGTTTTTCCTAGAATTCAAAACACGGTTTCCAATTTTCTAATGATTGGTATGATCCATTAATAAATAAACTAAGAAATTCCCTCATTTTTCTTTTGGCTTCCTTTTAGTGTTAATTATACATCATTTTTTTTTCATCCAGGATTACAACTTTAGTCATGGTCTTTTGAGTCTCAGAGCATTTGTTCAGACTGTGATGTCTCCACTGAAGTTCCTTCTATTTTAATGCACCTATCAAAATTCCACACTCCTTCAAGTCTGAATCCCTTCTGCTACATGTGACCCCTTTCTCCTTGCAATCTCCATCATAATTACTTATCCCTTTCTTACAGCAGCAGAGATCAGAAGTTATGAGAATGAACTCCAAAGTGCAACACCACTTGGGTTTATACTCTGGCTTTACCACCTACTAACCCATTTGACATTGAGCAAGTTAACTTATCTTCTAGTCCAATTTCTCATACATAAAAAGGGAAACCTATAATATCTGTTTCATAGGAAAGTTTGGATAGCTGAATAAATGAAGGTAATTCTTGTAAAGTATTATGGAATACTAAGTGTTCCATAAAAGGTTTTATTATTCTTATTAGATTATTAACATTGTCATCACCATCCTTGAAAATGTGATATGGCTTATAATATGCCATTCAAAGATCCTACCCCACCTAAGAATCTTTCCTTTTCTTTTTCAGCAATCAGTTTTATGACAGAATTGCATGTGATGTTGGGTTAGTGGATATGACTGATCGACTGATTATAACAGAGTAAGTAACCCTAATGGTAGATGTGAAAGTCAAATTACCTTCAGGTGTTCCCTGAATAATGTCAGTTTCCAGGAACAGTAATACAAAATAATTTTTTTTGCAGACGTGGCTATCTAATTTCTTTGTCATCCTTGTATTACCTAGTGTCATTCCAAAAGCCATAACATGGAATACATTTTGGACACTGACCTATGTCTTTATTACTTTTCTACTTGTCCGTGGGTATCTGAATGCAAGGAACTATTAAACTTCCCTAATTATTCACATTAATTTTTATTTTTCTGCTCCTTCATTTGAATAGTATATACTGAGCATAGACTATGTAGTAGCAGTTGTTTCCTTAGTATCTTAAAAATATAGATGAAGTCATTGAAGTCTTGTCACCCAAAGTATCTGCAGCATGAGCAACACCTGGGAGTTTGTTAAAAATGCAGACTTTCAGGCCCTAACCAAGGTCCTAAGCCAGATCTCTCAAATCGGAGCCTATGTTTTTACAAGATCACCAGGTGAGTCATGTATACATTCAAGGAAGCACTGGATTGCACGTAAGAATCACTTGCATTTATAAAGATACAGACATCTACAATCGAGGTGAAGAGCCAAGTATGTTAAGATCTTAGCCAATTAAACAATTGTCTGATAATTCAGGAAGTTTTTAAAAACATATTGATGAACTTTTGTAGAAGTATCTTTTAACTTTAGTACACAATACATTTTAATAATTTGAAAATGATAATTCCATATCATAACCTGTTGTGATAAAGAAACAAAGATACTTAGATTATATGTAGTTGTTTACTTGGGGCCCACTATTGATATATTCTGGGGAGGTTATTTCAACAAATAAATTTCCATGAATATTAAGGGTGATAAATTCTAGATGAAAGAAAAAAAGATATTTTTGCCAGAACCAAAGATATTAAATCTCCTTACATCTCAAATGATTAAATCAGTGTTGTGCTTCCATTAGCAGACAGTCATTTCTGTCACTGGAAGAATGCAGCCAGAAGCAGAAAGGATTGTTTTTGTTTTTGAGACAGGGTCTTGCTCTGTTATTGAGGTTGGAGTGCAGTGGTGCTAATTCGACTCACTACAACTACAACCTCTACCTTCCAGGCTCAAGTGATTCTCCCACCTCGGCCCCCCAAGTAGCTGAGACCACAGGTGCTTGCTACCTCACCCAGGTAATCTTTGTGGGTTTTTTTTTTTTTTTTTTTTTTTGTAGAGATGGGGTTTTGCCATGTTGCCCAGGCTGGTCTTGAACTCCTGGGCTCAGGTGATCCACCTGCCTCAGTCTCCCAAAATGCTAGGATTATAGGTGTGAGCCACTACACCAGGCCAGTAGAGAGTTTTATACAAAGGGGCAGCCAAGAGCCCCAGCTTACCAGATGGGCCATGCTGGGACCAAACGCAGGTGACCTGGAATCTACAGGTTCAAAATGAAAGCCAAGGAGTTAAGAGGGAAGTTGAATCATGGCTAGGCCTGTGTTCAGTAGAAATCAAGAGGCACCCACCTAAAAAGAAACCTCTAGGTAGAAACAAACTGTATTCAGGGTGCCCAAAGACAGGAACAGAGGAGGCTGAAGCAGTACCAAGTGTCAAAGACACCAGAGGCAATTTGACCTTCATATACTAACCAAAAACTCTATCCGAAGAAGAAACCTGGGACATCTCATGTGGTACTATGGTGCCAGCAATTGCTTCTGATATACCTAAGACATTGCTGTGGCACAAATGACAAATGTATTATAATGTGTTCTAACCAAACCTTGTCCTGATTGTTGTAATCAGTACAGTTGAAGGAAAAAGTTATCTCCTATGCCTTCTCAAGGTTTAATGATACTCCATGACCTGCACTGAAACAAGCTTTCCAAGGCACTTCAGTGCCCAGAGATGACCATATTTTTGTGTTTTTAAAATTTATGATAGGAAAGTTTCCTCTGTGTGTTTCTTATGTGGCATTTCCTGGATTAAAAGTCATGAAATAAAATCACCAATAAATTAGGGAAAACATAAAACACCACTGGGTACTGTGAAAAATGGCCTGGGTCCAAGAACAGCATGCTAAAAAGCAAGCACTTTGCACTCCTTAAACTCTCCTCACTTCAACACTTTTCTTTTTCTGTATTTCTTTAAGGTGAAGTCTTAGATACACATCATGGCAAAAACTTTCTGACCCCTTGGGTAGCTTGATTTCTTTATTTACATACTGATTTAAAAGCTGGCTGAAATAGGCTGATTACATGACAGGTAGACCGCCTTTTCAACAAACTTAACAGGGACCAACACTACTACATTATACCCACACCACATTCACATCGAACCCTGTTGCCCATGTGAACAGATGAGGTGTAAATGGCTTATAAAAATCTTTTTACAGACTTCATTTTCATGAAAGAACAAGTGTGGAATTGTGTATCGGCATTCTGTGTTAAGAAGATAAACATTGCTATTCCTAAATGTATACCTTCAGCTGAAACAGTTTAGCCAGTCTATTCATTGTGCCCCAGACATGCTTTTCTAGACCTCTTTTTCTTTTTTATGACTTTCTCTCCATATCCAAATTGCAACTATTTGTCAAGATCAAATGCAAGTCCCTCTTCCTCAGGGAAGCCTTCCCAGACCGCTCCCTCAATTGAAACCAATCTCTTTCTCTTTCCACATATAAACTCTCATATACCTCATAAAGACAAAAAGAGAAGCTTACCCATTATATTTACATCCATCATATTTGTGTGGTAAATGGGATTTATAACCAGTCCCACCTAGCCCTGATAAAATGTCTGCTCTGTGAGATAAGGTACGTAGCTCTACCCATCAGAATTTAACAGAGAACATGCCAGTTCCCTCTTCCTTTACCCCATCCTGCCACTACCCATGGTCACGCTTACACTAAATAGGTATTTAATTAATATTAGAAAAATAATAAAATCAGTCAACAAAGGAATTATAAATAATGTATAAGTATACTGTATCAAAAGAAAAATTCTAAATGAAGACTTATGAATAAATGTGGTTAGTAGAAGTGCATGTTCAGAAGCAACCTTTCATTCTGAGATTATCTCTATACTAGCCATCTTGGTTCTCTCCCTGAACAATCTACAGTACCAGACATGCTCAAAACCAGTGCAAAGGAGGATCATAGAGACTGGGGGTGGGGTTGGAGGTGGTTAAATGTGCCTTGGGGTCCCAGACCACAGACTTATTATATCAGAATCTCCAGGAGCATAGGGGGAAATTGGGAGGGTAGGCGTGAGTATTTTATCATGGACTTAAATTATATCACCGAGATCCATATATAGGCTCTGTTTCCTCTTGGGTGATTGCAAATAGGTCCTGGCTCTCTCTTTGTGGCTGTGGCTGCATCAAAACTCTCATCCTTATACCATTCATCCTAGCACAAACAATCTACTTTCAACATTCAGAACAACATGTCTGAGATTCACTCTGATTGGCTTTGATTTGGTTACCAAATCCTTTCACCTAAAACCAGTCTTTAGACCTGTGATAAACCTAAGCCAATTAAAAAATTAATGGGGGTATTAATTTCACTCCAACCCATTGAGCTGGGAAGTTCAGAACCACGTTAGGAAAGGAGGAGAAATAAATGGATGCTGGGGAGAGAATTAGGAGATGGCCACTTGATATAACTGTTATTTTCCTACCAGAAAGGAGGGCAGCAAGGTCTGTCAATCATACACCTAAGTGGTGACTTCAAGATCTTTATTTATAAAATGATGATACAAGGATATTTATAAAATGATGATATAAAAACCAGCCCCATCGTCTTTACAGTCATAATAACTTAAAATTAGACAGACTAGTCTATTGACTTTGAAAAAAATGCAAAACTATTTACATGCATTATCACATTTGCTTCTCACTGAAAATGGAAAAAGTATTTGCCTCTTTTAGTAATGAAGAAACTGAGGTCTAAAAAGGATCAATGTTTGCCTAAGTTTACACCTATGTCTGAGCCAGGATTAGAATCCCAGTCTCGGAACTCCTACTTCAGCGATCCTCCCACCTTAATTTTTGACTGTTCACATTAGAAAAAAAATGAAATCTTTCAACTATATAATGGTATTTTTATGTGAAGCTGGCTTCTATAATGGCCAAGGCGAAGTAGAATTTTATCTAGAGTCTACTTTCCCAAGAGCCTTGTGTAGCTTAAATTAATCCTTCTGCTTATATCTGAGGTGAATAGACAGTTTAGAAAGTGAAATGTAAAATACGGCAACTGCTCTGAACCCACACTCTAGGTTTTAATCTCCATGTCTCTGTTGACATGTTAAAGCTATGCCAGAGAATCACATGGCACCTTTTAGATGTCATCCAGAACCAGAGCACCATGATTCACAGCTGGCCAAGGGAAAGCTAGTAGAGGCAGCAAGCTAATCATTCAGTAAAATTTGGCTTCTCTTTCCCACCTGACCCTTTCATCTTATCTCTGACCCAGCAGGACCGTCTGGACTTTGTACTCCTGTACTGTTGGCAATGATTTCTGCTGCCCTCTGAGGAAAGCTGTTACTGACCCTGCTCCTTATTCTTTCTTCTCTCCCCCGATGCCAAGCACTTTTACCTCCCCTCCAAGGCCTTGGAAACAACCTAACTCTTGGGCTCACATTCCTATTACCAACCTGGCATGGCCGCCCCTTAGATTTCATATCTGACTAACCTTCTTGTGCCAGTGCTGGAAAAAAGCTATTATTGACTGAGTTTTAATTTGAAAAATGCAAATATGCCTCATGTTAGTTTGTTTGAGACAATAGGCAACCTTCGAAGAACTCTTGAGACAAAGAACAAAATCTAATTTGCATGCAGAGGCACTTGCAAATGTCTAGAAATACCTTTCTTGATGCTGTCTTCATACCTTGTAAACCTCTAGTGGCAATACTTGCTCAGAAACAATAATGCATATACTCAAAGGCCCCACACTGTAGAAGCTCCTATGCTCATCCCAGCAGAGCTTTGTTATCTCATCTAAGATCCAGGTGTTAATGAAGCAGTTGGATGGGAGTTGTGCATCTCATACAGTAATAACAATAAAACACTAAAAATTAAGAATAAAAAACATTTACAGCCACTACATTTGCAGAGCGCTCAAACGGGCAATCACTCCCCTGCCATGGCGTGTACCCTCCTCAGAAGCATCTTGATGCTACACTGCCAACGCCTTCCAAGGACAGTGGAGTGCCTACTGCATGGGTTTTAGTTGTTTCCTTCAACCAAGTCCTATGTGTTTCCACATTTGAGATTGGAGTTACTCTCTTTTCAGTGTCCAGTCAACTACTAGACAGCAAAGTTATAGTCAGTGAGTCAGAGTTAGAGTCAAAGTTAGAATGAGACAAAAAGAAAGAGAGAGAAGCAGAAAAGAGAGAAGGGAGGTCAAGAGGAGGGCTGTAGAGAATTAATTGATTTCTTGTGTTTTACAAAATAGTCTGTCTTACGTCTACTTCAAACCACAATCTGAAAGATGGCAGCTCATCCAAATGAAATCACAAAATGACTGTGAGGAGGAGGAAATTTGCAGGACGATGAAGAAATTGTTCTTTCCATGTTGTGCTGTCTATTACCACTTGTTCCACTATAGAATCTATTAAAAGAAATTTGCCATCTGAAGGATTTAACTATATTTTTGAAGGTCAGGTGTCTTACTGCCAGAATAGGAATTTTAAATTTTATAAAATCTGATGACTGTCATTAACAGTTTTTTTCCTTCTTTGACAGATGCTAAAAGTAAGTCAAGGGTAAGAGGTACTGCTCTGTGGGGATTGATTTTCATTCCTTTATGAGACAACTAGCTTGGTTCTAGGATTGAATAAGGAAGACTGTCTAAGTCCCCTGTGGCATCAAATGCCTGGTACCCAGAGAGCAGAGCAGCCCTTTCCTGGGAAATAAATATGGGAAGTGAGGTACGCTGACCAACAGGCTCTGTGATCCCTTCTCTTCACATTGGCGAGTTCTCAAATCTTTTTAAAATTATATGGGAGCTCATTAAAAAACATATATTCCAGGATACCTCCCAGGAGTGAGCCTGATTGAATAAGCCTGGGAATTTCTTAGCATATTTATTTTAACAAGCTCACAGATAATTCTGACACACACTAAAGTTAGAGCCACTGCTAGAGCTTCTCCCAATTCCCTCAAGCAGGTATGCCATACAATGTCCCTTCATTAAACTGGTTTTCCCTGTAAATCGTTATTTGCTTGGAATAATCACGAGAAACTGTTTGAAGATGAATAAGCTTTCAATTAAAGCTGTTTGTGAGATACGAACTCTGTTCCAGGTAAGCTCAGCCTATAATCATTGCAGCAGCTAATAACTGCAAGAACACAAAGCAGGGCAAAGTGCTAAATGGAACTCTGAAAACCCAACGCAAATACTGAATTACATTGGCCACATCCCTCAAGCTCTTAATCCAAAACAGAAATGTCATTTATTGAGGCTATTTTTATATTTTCCCATTGACCGTAGAAATAATCAGGTAAGCCTGTTGCAACATTTACCATAGCAGGGGAGAAAAATCTATTTCCTTCATTTTGTCAGCCTGAGGGGTATTTATAAGCGACCAAAATTGTTGCTGCTGAATAGCTTTAGAGGAGTTGCTTTTAAACTGCTGTTGTCAAAGTTTCCCACAAATAAATCTATTTTAATTAATTTTTATGGTAAGATTATACTTTTCATCTTTACCCTAACCTGTGACTTTGTAAGTATCTTTCGAGGGTGAAGTACATGTTTTTTGTAATCAGCGGAGTGAATTTTTGTTTCTATAGCTTTGTATTTTAAGTATTGAACTGCCCTGCATTGGCTGATATGAAGTGTTAGTTTCAGTTTAACCAATAGTTAGCCCTGAGCTGATGAAATACATTTGTCTGGATTCTTTGGTATATAAACTATGATGAATTTTCTAGAATACCTCCAATGTAACAGAATAATTCCTAGGTGATGTATGACCTTTTGAGTGGGAGGAAGTTTCTAGGGAATTAAAAATGTATTTTATCTGTGTTTAAATATCTTATGAGCTACTTTAGCATTGTTAGGTTAACTTGATAAAACTAAACTTACTTTAGAGTTTGTCCCTAAGTAGAATATGGCTTTATCAGCTCTGCTCAAACCAAGTCATCAAATAATAATCTCTGCCAAAATGTATGCCCTTGTTTGTAATCAAATGGCTTATCAAGTGATAAGTATCTTCCAGGTGACATGTGTGTTGCTTATTTTTCTGGACAACAGTAACATGTCTGTTCATATTGTATTATTTACTATGGCTCATGAGTGGGTCACTGTAAGACAGTTAAAATCAAGTTTATTGGTAATGCCTGAAATGGTAAAGATTATTTTATTTGATTCTGAGTTCCTCTCCAATTTCTTCAAACCTTTTTCTTTCTATGACAAAGTAATGGGAATTGACCCTCTTTCTTTGAAGACCAGTATAACTCTCTTATGTTCCTCCGTTACATTTCCCTCACTCCCTCCTGGAAGCCTTGGTCTGTGGATGTTTCCTGTTACTCCTGGTATTGCCTTGGTGTCACCACCATTGTCCTTTATATTCCAGGATCAGAAATAACTGTATCTGGTTTGATTTTTTAAAAAAGGAAACTTGCTGTTACTTCCCAAATTATTTTTCCTGGAATAGACACTAATGTTCTGTGATGCTTTTCACCTCAAACTCAGTGGTGATTATTTGAAGGCAAGAGTTATTTATTGCTACATATCAAATTATTCTAAAACAGGGTAGTTTAAAACAAGATACGCTTATTACCTCATATAGTTTCTGTGGGGCAGCAATCTGAGAGCAGCTTATCTGAGTGGTTCTGGCTTAGAGTCTCATGATGTCACAATCAAGATGTCAACTGAGGCTGCATCATATAATGGCTTGATGGTAACTGGAGGACTCACTTCCTGTATGGTTCACTCTTGTGGCTGGCAGGTTAGAACTGGTTATGGACAGGAGGCCTCGCTCCTCACTACATGAACTTCACTATATAGCTTCTTGAGCATTCTCATCATGCAGTGACTGTCTTCACTGAGAGCAAGCATCACAAGACAGAGTAAGGTAGAAGCCACATGTCTTTTACAACCTAGCTTGGAAGTCACATGTCATGTATATTTATTTCTGCAATAATAACTTATTTGTTATACAAGTCAGCTCTTCTTAATATGAAAGAGTAGTAAGCAAGGGTATGAATACCAAGAAGTGAGGTTCACTGGATTCACTGAACCAGTTAAATAGAGTGGTCATCTTGGAAGCTAGCTACTACAAGTCTTCCTAACTCAATTTGTTTTTTCTTCCTTTAAGAACCTGAGACAGATACTTTCTAGTTTTGAGAATTAGAGAAGGTTTGAATGGCACAAAATTATATTTTCAAACAATTAAGGAGTATCTTAGGAAGAAACACAGTTGATAATATGAAAGCTTTTCTTCAGTAGGTTGACTTTCATGCTCGCCCAGGGCACAAAGCAGGAGGCTAGATACCCACTTGCTGATGCTACCTATAACTTATTGCTCATTCCTTGAATCTGCTGAACTGTTTCTCTTAGAAAGAAAGGTATTGGGATTTGGGTAAGATGGCTAACTAGCAGCAGCCAGGTGAAACAGCTGCCACAGAGGGACCAGGATGACTCCTAACAGATCTTCAGAGGAAAGGCACTGAGAGTGGACAGAGGGAAGACACAGAAGCTGGGCTGAAGGAGAAAGAAGCAGGGACCCCTGCACATTGCTACTATGGACTGGGACTCATTCCTGGCCCCCAGGGATTTCAGGGGAATGGTTAAGTTTAACTGGAAAGGAGCAAATCACTCTCACATGGGCCTCTGGAATTCCATCAGAAGGAGACTCCTTGACCACCATGGACACTTGAGTTATCAGGGAGAACTGCTTAGAAAAGCGGAAGGGGCAGCATACCAACCAAAGTTTCGAGTAGGAGGGTCTGTAGCAAAGCATGGCCAGGGATGCCCATCTCTCCAGGCTTGACTTCCTCCCATCTCTAGGACTTAGTCCTAGAGAAACTCAGACCTGAACCCTGGAAGGCAGTCTGGCCCATCTGACAGGACTGATCTAACCTGAGCAACCCTTGGTCTTCCAGCCTCTCCAGAGGCCCCAGCCTTGCCATTACTGCTTGCAGTGCAGCCTTGGATGCTCTGAGGACCCACATCAAATCTCCTGCACTTGTGGACCATGCCTGACCAGAAGAAAGTTCCAGGGGGGGAGCCCCCATGACCACATACCATCTGGCCTGCTATCTCCTCAAACTGCTGCTTTCCCTGGGCCCACAGCCAACCCTAACATTGATTTGCCAGTGCATATGTGCATAGGAGATCTTGCCTTTCCTGCTCTGCTAGTGTGTGTGCATGTGCACTCTGCCCTGCCTCTGCTGTCCAGGGGTGTGCACTCTGCCTCCTCTTCCCTGTGATACTGCCATTGTAGTCAGAACCTTGGGAAGTACAGAGCCCATCAGCATTGCCCTTGCCAGTGCCCCACCCTGTGCCAACACTGCTGCCAGAGTGAAACTAGGCATGGAGAATAGCAGACCCTCCTTGAGCAGCCACAGGGGCACACACAGACCTGAGCCTGCCAACATCTTGCTCCCATGCTAATACCATCACCAGCATGACTGTGTGCACAGTCACCAATGGACTCCTGCCCCAAGCTGTACTGCCTCTACTGCTGCTGTGAATGCCTGCATGAAGGCAGGCACCCCAACACCTGCTAGCACCCTGCTGCAGCTAATGAGGATGCACCCCACCATGCTGCTGCTGCTGTTGGCACATGCAAACAAGGACAGGTCCTACTGCCACTGCCCTAGGAAACATTTTGGCTGGCACCACCTATCAGAGTGTAGTAATCAGTGGTCAAGGGGCACCTCAGCCCCACCAGCACCAATGGGTTCTTAACCTAGAGGAGCCAGAGAACAAAGTCGACCTGATGCAAGTTCCCCAGAGTTACAGCATGCAGTCTAGAAGTTGGGAGCTGAGACTTGGTTCTTTAAAATCTTCCAGAAACAAAACCAGTTGACTGAACCCATCTTATACCATACACACACACACACACACACACAAACCCAGCAGTTTCAAAGATTGAGGAACATTAGCCCACCACAATGAGAAAGAACAAGCGCAAGAGCTGACAACTCAAAAAGTCAGAGTGCCTTTTTCCCTCCAAATGACCACATTACCTCTTCAGCAGATTTCTGAACCAGGTTGTTATGGCTGAAATGTCAGAAATAGAATTCAGAATATGGATGGGAACAAAGATCATTGAGATGAAGGAGTACATTGAAACCCAATCCAAGGAAGGTAAGAATCTAAATAAAAGGATACAGAAGGTGACAGACAAAACAGCCAGTACAAAAAAGAATACGATCAACTTGATAAAGGTGAAAAACACTCCATAAGAATTTCATAATGCAATCACAAGTATTAATAGCAAAATAGACCAAGTTAAGGAGAGAATCTCAGAGTTTATACCTGGCTTTCTGAAATAAGACAGTTAGACAAGAACAGAGAAAAAATAATGAAAAGGAATAAACAAGAATTCTGAGAAAAATGGAATTATGTAAAGAGACCAAATCTGTGACTCATTGGTGTCCCTGAAAGAAATGGAGAGAATGCAAGCAACTTGGAAACCATATTTCAGGATATCATCCATGAGAACTACCCCAACCCAGCTAGAGAGGCAAACATTCAAATTCAGGAAACACAGAGAATTCTAGTAAGATACTTCATAAGATTATCCCCAAAACACATAATCCTCAGAATCTCCAAGATCAAAACAAAAGAAAAAAATGTTAAAGACAGCTAGAAAGGTCAGGTCACCCACAAAGGGAATCCCATCAAACCAACAGTGGACTTCTTAGCAGAAACCCTACAAGCCAAAAGAGATTGGAGTGAGTATTCTTAAAAAAAAAAAAAAAAAAAAAAATTCCAACTAGAAGTTTCATATCTGGCTGAACTAGGCTTTATAAACAAAAGAGAAAGATAATTTTTCAGACAAACAACTGCAGCAGGAATTTGTTACTACCAGACCTGCCTTACAAGAGCTCCTTCAGGAAGCACTAAATATGTAAAGGAAGAGAATTACCAGCCACTACAAAAACACAATGAAGTTATATAGGCCAGTGACACTATAAAGCAATAACCCAAACCTCTCAAAATAACCAGCTAACATCATGATGACAGAATCAAATCCACACATATCAATACTAACCTTGAATGCAACTGGACTAAATGCCCAGTTAAAAGGCATAGAGTGGCAGGCTGAATAATAAACCAAAAACCAATGGTATGCTGTCTTCAAAAGACCCATCTCACATGTAATAACTCTCATAGGCTTAAAATAAAGGGATGGATGAAAATCTATCAAGCAAATAATAAAAAAGGTCAGGGGTTGAAATATAAATTTCAAACAAGCAAATATTAAAAAAAGACAAAGAAGGACATTACATAATGGTGAGGGGTTCAATTCAACAAGAAGACAAATCTATCCTAAGTATATATGCACCCAACACTTAGAGACCTCCAAAGAGACATAGACTCCACACAATATCAGTGAGAGACTTCAACACTGCACTGACCATGTGAGACAGATCATCAAGGCAGAAAATTAACAAAGATATTTAGGACCCATACTCCACAGTGGACCAAATGGGTCTAATAGACATTTACAGAACTCTCCACCCCAAAACAACAGAACATACATTCTTCTCATGCTGCATGGCACATACTCTAAAATTTACCACACGATCAGACACAAAACAGTTCTCAGCAAATGCAAAATAACTGAAATCAGAACAATCACTCTCTCAAACTACAGTGCAATAAAATTATAAATAAAGGCTCAAAACCAAACAAGTATATGGAAATTGAATAACCTGCTCTTGAATGACTTTTGAGTAAATATTAAAATTAAGGGAGAAAATAAAGAAGTTCTTTGAAACTAATGAGACCAAAGATATAGCATATCATAATCTCTGTGACACAGCTAAGGCAGTGTTAAGATAAAAATTTATAGCACTAAATGCTCACATAAAAAAGTTAGAAAGATCTCAATTTAGCAACCTAATCTCACAACTAAAATAAATAGAGAAGCAAAAGCAAACCAACCCCAAAGCTAGCAAAAGACAAGAAATAAGCAAAATCAGAGCAGAAATAAAGCATATTGAGACATGGAAAAGGAATCAAAAGATCAATGAATTCAGGAGTCTGCTTTTTGAGAAAATTAATACTCTATTCTACTGACTAGATTAATAAAGAAGAAAAGAGAGAAAATCCAAATAAACACAGTTAGAAATGACCAAGGAGAAATTACCACTGACCCCACAGAAATACATATAACCATCAAAGAATATTATGAAAACAAACTAGAAAATCTAGAAGAAATTGATAAATTCTTGGATACATACACTCTTCCCAGGACTGAACCTGGAAGAAATTGAATGCCTGAACAGACTAATAAAAAGCCCCAGAATCGAATCTGTAATAAATAGCCAGCAACCAAAAGAAGCCCAAGACTATATGAAGCCACATCCTATTCTACCAGATATACAAAGAAGAGTTGGTATCACTCCTACTGAAATTATTTCAAAAAATTGAGGAAGAGGGATACCTCCATAACTGATTATAAGAGGCCAGAATCATTCTGACACCAAAACCTTGTGGATACAACAGCAACAAAAAAAGAAAACTTCAGGCCAATATCCTTGATGAACACTGATGCAGAAATCCTCAACAAAATATTTATAAACTGAACCCAGCAGCATATCAAAAAGCTAATCCATCATGATCAAGGAGGCTTTATCCCTGGGATGCAAGGTCAGTTCAATATACACAAATCAATAAATGTGATTCATCACATAAACAGAATTAGGACACAAACCCCATTATCTCAATAGATTCAGAAAAGTCTTCCAATAAAATTTAACACTCCTTCATGTTAAAAATTCTCAATAAGAGGCAGAGGACTCAAGATGGCGCTGTGAGAACAACCCAGGATTGGAGCTCTCGTTGAATCCGCAAACGGTGAGTCGGAGCTGCATTTCCAGACTGATCTTTGTTGCCCACAGAACGGGGAAACTCCCAAGTATAAAAAAGACATGGGACGCCAGGTAGTAGTTCTGCCTGGCGAAGCCGGCAGCTGAGGCGGCGGCAGCCAGCCCTACCCAGCAATCCCCACAGGGCGCGCTTGTCCGGGTGCCCTGTTGAACCGGCAACCTGAGACTTGAGAGGGCTGGACTTGAGACTGAACGAGACTTGGACAGTAGGCCAGCCCAGGGGATTGCAGGGACAGATCATTTGGGATACCCAGTGGGACGAACAAAACCACGATTTCAAACTATCCCGAGCAGACGGTCCGAGACGCTCTGTGGGGGAGGGGCGTCCACCACTACCGGGGCAACCCGCCCCAACTGAGATACACGCCCACTGCTGACACAGCCAGCCGTTGCCGAGGCAACCCGCCCCAACTGAGATACACGCCTACTGCTGACACAGCCTGCCGTTGCTGAGGCAACACGCTACAATGAAGAGACTCTGCCGCAGGGCGTGGCGGAGACCACAGCAGTGCCTGCAGGAACAGGGTGAATCACACAACAGCAGGGCAGAGCCTCGGCAGCCAAACAGTGGCTAGTCTGCCTTCTAGCTGGGCAGGACACCTCATCGGACATTGAAAAATAAAGCCAGAACCCCCCAACACAGAGCATTTGAGAAAAAATGCTTTTTTTTAATGAGCTCTGTTGCAGCAGAATCAAACATAGCAGCCTAACAGCCCTGAATGAACAACAGAGCTCACAGCTCAGCAACTGAGCTCCAAAAAAGTACAGACTGTCTCCTCAAGCAGCTCCCTGACCCCTCTATATCCAAAAGACTGACATTTGGCAGGCATCATCCTGGGACAAAGTTAGCAGAAAAAGAAACGGGTAGCATCCCTCACTGTGCCACAGCTGCTAGAGGTGCACCACAGACAAGCAGGGCCTGGAGTGGACCTCAGCAGTCGTACAGTGAAGGGGCTAGGCTGGTAGAAGGAAAACCAAGTAACAGAAATACTTCATCATCAACAATCTGGGTGTCCACTCAGAGACCCAATCGAAAAGTCAGCAACTACGCAGACGACAAGCGGATAAACCCACAAAGATGGGAAGAAACCAGCGAAAAAAGGAGGAAAACACCCAAAACCAGAACACCTCGCCTCCTAGAAAGGACCAAAACTCCTCACCAGCAAGGGAGCAAAGCAGGACGGAGAATGACTGTGATGAAATGACAGAATTAGACTTCAGAAGGTGGATAATGAGAAACTTTTGTGAGCTAAAATAACATGTATTAAATCAATGCAAAGAAACTAAGGAACTTAAAAAAAGATATGAGGAAAGGATAACAAGAATGGATAACTTAGAGAGGAATATGAATGAATTAAAGGAGCTGAAAAACACAATACGAGAACTTCGCGAAGCATGCTCAAGTTTCAATAGCCGAATTGACCAAGCAGAAGACAGAATATCTGAAGTTGAAGACCAACTCAATGAAATAAAACGAGAAACCAAGATTAGAGAAAAAAGCACAAAAAGGAATTAACAAAGTCTCCAAGAAATGTGGGACTATGTGAAAAGACCTAATCTACGTTTGATAGGTGTACCAGAAGGGGACGAAGAGAATGAATCCAAGCTGGAAAATACTCTTCAGGACATTATCCAGGAAAACTTACCCCACCTAGCAAGACAGGCCAACACTCAAATGCAGGAAATACAGAGAACACCACAAAGATATTCTGCAAGAAGAGCAACCCCAAGGCACATAATCGTCAGATTCAACAGGGTTGAAATAAAGGAGAAAATACTAAGGGCAGCCAGAGAGAAAGAGCGAGTTACGCACAAAGGGAAGCCCATCAGACTCACAGCATATCTCTCGGCAGAAACACTACAAGCCAGAAGAGAGTGGGGGCCAATATTCAACATTCTTAAAGAAAAGAACTTTCAACCCAGAATTTCATATCCAGCCAAACTGAGCTTCAGAAGTGAAGAAAAAATAAAATCCTTTGAAAACAAGCAAGTACCCAGAGATTTTGTCACCACCAGGCCAGCTTTACAAGAGCTCCTAAAAGAGGCACTACACATAGAAAGGAACAACCAGTACCAGCCATTCCAAAATCACACTAAATGCTAAAGAGCATCAAGATAATGAAGATTCTACAACAACTAACAGGCAAAACAGCCACTTAGCATCAAAATGGCAGTATCAAATTCACACATAACAATATTAACCCTAAATGTAAATGGACTAAATGCACCAATCAAAAGACACAGACTGGCAAATTGGATAAAAATCCAAAACCCATCGGTGTGCTGTATCCAGGAAACCCATCTCACATGCAAGGATACACAAAGGCTCAAAATAAAGGGATGGAGGAAGATTTACCAAGCAAATGGAGAGCAAAAAAAAGCAGGAGTTGCAATTCTCATCTCTGATAAAATAGACTTTAAAGCAACAAAGATCAAAAAGACAAAGAAGGCCATTACATAATGGTAAAAGGATCGATACAACAAGAAGAGCTAACGATCCTAAACATATATGGACCCAATGCAGGAGCACCCAGATACATAAGGCAAGTTCTTAATGACTTACAAAGAGACTTAGACTTCCACACAATAATAGTGGGAGACTTTAACACTCCACTGTCAATATTAGACAGATCAACCAGACAGAAAATCAACAAGGATATCCAGGGCTTGAACTCAGACCTGGAGCAAGCAAACCTGATAGACATTTACAGAACTCTCCATCCCAAATCCACAGAATATACATTCTTCTCAGCACCACATCACACCTACTCTAAAATTGACCACATA